CGCTTATTAATGTGGTTTCTCTACTTCTTCTAGTTTGTTTCTCTCTTGATTTTCTAAACATTCAAGGTGAGGCAAAAGATTTATTTCTAGTTGTTACTTGCAACAGCTGCCAAAGCTGATACACAGGTCTGCTAAAAAGCAGCTCATTTGATGTCTTCAGCATCAAACATCTTTCCATCCTAGATGAGATGGATGACTTCCTATGATCTTACGGGGTGTGAAGAATGATATGGAAGGAGGTGATTACCGAAGAAATTACTGATACTTTGGATTGTGCCCACAAACAGACTGATAACCAGCACAGCTGTGGTGGCTTTCCTGTAACAAGATGTCATGGGAAGATATTCACCAATATCTTTGCAGTGACATTCCTAATCATCAGAAGCAGCTTTGGAGCAGAGATCTTCTTGGGAGTTTGGCCTAGGATAGCTTTTTACAGCAGCATCTAAAAAAATACAACTGCTTGCTCAGTGATGAGGAATGGGAGTATTCTGCCAGAACAAGTTCGAGGCATTCGTTTTTACCTAGCTAATTACTGCCTTTAAACACAGATTCAGAAGAAAAATAACATGGTTGATACTGGAAGAGGAGAAGAGTTGCATGTTATCTGTGTATTGGTATCAATTTGTACTACATCCCCAAATAACATACCCTACCTGTTAAGTAATGTTGAGAGTAAGAACAAGCTCTGCAAGAAACCACAAGATAGATGTGCGATAACTGGTGCTCTCTCTAAGTGTTTTAGGTTACATCCATTATCATCCTTAGCTACCACGGCCAGCAGTTAAATGTAGAGAAGGTGCTATAAGCCAATGGCCAAGAGTTTCTATATCCTAACCTTAAAGGAGAATCATAGCTGCTGCAGAATACTGTAGTGATTCCTGTTGATACTCACTACATAATCCACAAAGATATCATGTGTCTTACAGTTCTGAGAGATCCAGAAGAACTCACAGGGATGCCCTCCCCACTCCCAATCCAGTTGCTAGCAAATGTTATTTAGCAAGACAGCCAAAGCAGTGCCTAAATGAAGCTTCTAGTCAAGACTGAGAAGGGTCTAAACAATCACAGCCATAGCCACCACCACCACCTTTGAACTGCAGAGCTGGAAGGGTCCCTATTTATCATCAAGTCCAGCCCCTCAACTTCTGGCTCCGCAGCCAGAGACCTAAGCCCCTGAGCTATCCAGCCTAACTGAAATGCTGTTATATGCTCAAAATAAAACTATATTCAAGAGTGGCAAATGTGAGACTGATTGATGCAGTCCAGGGACTGCTTTTTCAACTGAGAGCTCATAATACAGTGGTGCCTTGACTTACGAATGCCCCTACTTACAAGCATTTCGAGTTACGACCAGCTCCGGCTGCAAAATTTTGCTTCTACTTGTGACCGGAGCTTCCACTTGTGAACAGAAAAAGGCAGGGGGAAAGGGAAGGAAATTCAAATTTCTAACTGTAGGTGGTGACGAGGCTGCTTCTTTGTACATAGCTCTTTCGCCCCAGCAGTTAGAGATGTGCGGAGGCTTTGGAGGCTTGGGGCTGCCGCCTCCTGCTTCTGAGTGTGTGTGTGTGTTTGCAGGGAGGCTTCGGGCTGTCTTGTAAGGTAAGGTGCTGTTTACTGCTTTTAAAAAACTGTTTCTGGTATTTTTGCAACATGATTTTGAGCTGGGGGGTTATGTTTCTGTGCTGTGATAGGTCTTGGGTTTGTTTGTTTTTTGTTTCTCCCCCATTTCTAATGGGTCTTAGGGGGTTTGTTTGCTTTTTAGTTCCCCCCCCATTTCTCATTTTGCACAATATGCTTGAGTGCTTTTTGCTTTCTCTTGTTTGCATTTGCAATAGGTCTTGATTGCTTCTCCCCTCTCCTTCGGCCGGAAGGGATTTCCAACTGGTCTTGCAGTGGGTGTGTGTGTGTGTTGTTGTTGGTTTTTTGGTGATTTTTTTCTTCAGCCAGAACGGATTAATTGCATTTCAGTGCAGTCCAATGGGAAATGGTTCTTCAGCTTACAACCATTTTGACTTATACCCATCTTCCTGAACCAATTAATTTTGTAAGTTTAGGCACTGCTGTAGCTGTCTTAATGGTGGAATAAACTGTTTCTTTCTCTAAGGAGGCAAACGGTCTCCTTTACAAATTTGCTGAGTTTTTCTGCTCTTTTTAGTCTCCCAGGCCAGGATCAGTCATTTACTGGACTGGTTTCACCCCAATCAAGGGCCTTATCTTCATTGACATGTTAAATAAATTGGAACATACCCATCACAACTGCAATGCTAAAGGCACACCTATATGGTCTGCTGTTGCTGTGACATCTAAATTGCAGTGCATTCATGTAAACATATTTGAACAACAGTATGTAGCAAAATCATCTTGGTGGGTTGTCAGGACCTCATTCTCAGTTTTTGATAATCCTTGATAAAATAGACTTCTTACTACTCAAAACAGCTGTGCTGTTTTCTGGGTCTTTTGATAATTGCATTCATGCATTTCCAAAAAAAAGATCAACACAGTTAGACTTCTACTCCTCCAAGTCAGAAGTTAAAGCTAAAGCCACAGGAGGGCAAACTATTAGTGGACCACTGATATTTATTTTGGTAAGATCAGAATAAATTCATGTTTGAAATAATGGGGTAGAACTGATATTGAAATTGTGTGATGTAAAAATTAGTTTGTGTAATCATCACAATGACATCTAGTACCATGGCTAAGAACCGGGAGGTATTCAAGTGAAATGTCTTAGCACTTAGTGTGGCCTTAGGCAAGTCTGAGATTATCCCTTTTGTTTGAATAGCTCCTCCCATCTTTTGCAATATGGTTACAACAAATACTGACTTTCCTTACAGTCCAGCTGTAAGAAACAAAAATTGTCTGTAATGTATAATATATAATGTATACTGCGAAATGTCTTGAGTGGCCTGAAGTACTGTACTGTATAAATGTTAAACTTGCATTTTTATTTTGTGTTTCTTTTTATAGTAGTAAATTTTATATTCAAATGTTTCACTGTTTGTTCAGGTTGAGAAGATTTGGGGGCTAGTTCCAACTCTGCCTATGGTGTAGCAGGAGAGGCTTGGGAAAAGAGGGAGATTCTAGATGGCTATGGTGTTGAGGACTGATAATAAAAGAAGGAGATAGAGAGAGCAAGCAGACAGTCCTTGGAGTGTGGTGAGGTCAATGTGCTATTTAAGCTTTAATGACCCATTAGAGGTTTTGGAGAGAAAGTAATGATCACCAAGGGGAGTTATGGGCTGAGCTGTTACTTCAACAGTGAAGAATGGAAAACTCATAAATACTACAAAGCCCTGCAGTTTTCTTGTGGGTTACATATGTTCTGTTTAGCTTTGTGTGAATGTGTGTGCAAAGAACAACACACACACACACACACACACACACACACACACACATTCAAAAATATACCCAAAGCAGTAAAATACAACAATTCTTTAAACGCAAAGAACAACACACACACACACCACACGGCTTCAAAAATATACTCAAAGCAGTAAAATACAACAATTCTTTAAACCACACCAACAGAGAAAGCTTACCTGAAGAGAAAGGTCTTTGCCTGCTTGTAGAAGGACAGCAAAGATGGAGCCAGCCTGGCTCAGCTTGTGTGTACATACTTACCTTCAGATGATTATTATAAACAAGTTCGCTGCTGCTCAACAGTTTAAAACAACGCTGAGAAGAAATTAAAGGTGGTGATGTGAGAGCTGTGTTTTGGGGAGGAGTGGTGGGTAAATTTTCCCCATCGTGAGATGCAGGTAATCAGGTGTAGGACTGCCTTCATAGCTAAGGTAAGAAAGCACCACAAAGTCATTATTGTCCTTTTTCTTTCTTTTTCTCTTCTCACCAACTCCATTCCTTTCATATATAAGCACTACTTTTTCTGTCTTGTCTTGGAAACTATTAGAAAGGTAGAACTGAAAAACGTTACAGAGATGTCTCAAATGAATACCTCCACTAGAATCAAGAAAACAGACAAAGCAAGTGAAAGGGGAAAACACCTAAGAATGTGATTACTTGGTTATGATAATACAGTTTCAAATTATTGTCTTTATATTGCCATATTGGTGGATGCTAACCCTTTTCTGATGTATGCATCATGTGACAAGTTACCACTGACATTTTGGCATTTGTAGCAACACATGAATTGTCATGTCATATTGGTTAAATACGCCATATCTTAGGAATATTAAATATGCACATTAAATATACATTAGACTGTGAGCATTAAATATAGATTACACGGGAATACAAATATGGGCACAACATTTTCCAAGTTCAATAAGAAAAGGGTTTGCCATTATTAACAGACCTATAATTTTTATATGAACTGACTGCTTTGGATACTTCAGGATTAAAATATAGAACGATATATTTGTACTTTAAAATGTCAGTGTTGCCAACTAACATCATCACATCTGTAAAGTTAATGGGAATCTCATAAGTCCTGAATGTGTTACAGTAGAAATGTTTGTAATTCTTTGAAACACTTTCTTCATATAGAAGAAGAAATCTAGAAAGAATGGAATATACTCTCATTTAGCAGTCTCTCGGTGACTGGCCTTAGTTTGAGAGGTTGGTGAAATGCACTGAATTTTATCTCTGTTGGACGTTGTGTTTGGGAAGAAGAGAGCAGTGAAGGTAGAGGTTTTATGTGGGAAGAAGAGTATAGGGATTAAAGTTTCAAAGTGGGTCTTGGGAAATCTAGATTTCTTTCGGAGGTAAGCCATGCAACTCATTGGATGGCTTTGAGGCAATAACTCTGAGCATGACTTACCCAATGTAGTTAGAAGGAAGAAAGCCATACGTAATGCCTTGAGCTCATTGGAACATGAGATATAAAGGCAAATAATAAATAAGTGAAACAATGTTAACATAGATTCTGGGATAGTCCAACCTTCAGAACAGCTGCAAAACGTTGCTATACTTTAAACCTCTTCCAGCATAAATTTGCTAATCCATGGCATTTTAAAATAAATGGTACTTTTGTCTTTCAGCTTCTCTCTTGAAAGGTCTAAAACATGCCAATATTGTGCTGCTTCATGATATCATCCACACAAAGGAGACGCTGACACTTGTGTTTGAGTTTGTGGTAAGTTGAAGCGTATATTATGTATGCATGATCTAAAACAGGGTCCCTGGAAATGGAATTGCTGCCATTAAGTAAAAGAGACCTGGATAATTCACATAATAGTTCCTTGCTGCCCATGGGGACAAAATGATCTCTAATCTAGTACGCTGAATCTGGAAACCTATATAGTTAGTGTAGTATAGTTAGTGATTGTCTCAGGCCATACCTGCTCTGGCTAGAATAAGAGACTGGGCATTTTCTCAGTTTCTCTTGTTTTATAGAAATTGAGGCTCCAAGACATTTTGACACCCTGTTAGGAGCCTCTGTGCTTTACACCTAAATGTACTCTCTTCCACTACCACTACCATGTATTTTGACCATTATTTAACATGAACTTTAGCTTCTACTACATCACTTTGTTTAATTTTGCTCTTATTTTGCTTTGTGTTTTGATTGTATGCCTTAAATATAGATTACACAGCAAAATAAAGTATTTTAGCCACAGTCTTTTACAGCTTCAATGGATCTCTTGTGAGCTGCTGCCTTGGGAGCATCATGAGAGGTTGAAAGATGGGATATAAATATTTTAAAATAAAATGAGTGAACTTCCAATTTAAGTTCTTGCCTGCTAGTCATAAGTGAGGAAAAATTGCATACAAGCAGGTAATTGGCAGGAGAATGTAGTGCTCTGTCTCTTTTGCCCATCTCAGAAACCACAAGGGCTCTGAGAGGTGGAAAGCTTTTTTCTCTGTATTCAATGTATAAACACTGTAGAATGCTAGAAGAATAATGGAGCATGCCATCCCTCCATGGCTAGGTGACAGGAGGCTAATTTAGGTGGATGGGCTACTAATTTTTGTGTGCATAGGTACCTAGCTATAAAGCAATAGTCTTACAGTACTAGACCCTGGTGTAATGTAAAATGGATTCTTCAGGACTTCTTATTAACTGTGAGGATTACAACCTTGTGTATTTGAACTCCAAAGACTTAATTGTAAGGCTTACAGAAGGGTGGGAAGCAGCAACATTTAGGTTTAAAAATCTTACTAAATGTCCTGTGTTGCCCCTGGCAGTTTGTGTTTTAATAAATAGTGTCAGAAAAAAAGTCTGGTGAATGTTAATTTTGTACTCTGTGGCCTCTTTTTCATGACTTGCATTCTAGCTATTAATTAAAACTTCTCACCATATAGAGTGTAATGAGTGTAATGATCTAATTTTGTTCTCTTAATTGCTTCGTGAAGTCTTGGGGTTGAACTCCTAATTAATTATCCTACATTTCCCTAAGACAAACGTGTAGTATTGGTATGGAAGGTCTGCAGCATTGTACAGTATTGTACGGTGCAGAACCATAATTAAACCTCTAATTTCTGCAGATGGCATTGGGAATATCACAATTCATATGAAGCAAAAGAATCTCACATAAGCTGTGTGTTTAAATAATATATATTTTTATATTATTAGAGCAAATAAGTTGATAGATGAATAAATGCACATTTTTTTCTTATATGAAACATAATTGAGTGTTACTCTTACAAAGTATTTTTGGGGTAGTTGTGCCCCCTTTGTATTGTGACCTATTTTTCACATTGAACTTTGGTTGCAAGACGACTGGCGGTCCATATTTTACACTGGAGATTATGATATAGCTAAAAAAATATTGTAACATTCTAGAAAAGTAATTGAAAAATCTGCTGTCATTTAACTTCAGACACAGTAACCACGAACATCTCTTATCTCTTAATCATTTGTAGCAGAAAACTTTTTTTCCCTAACTATTCCACCAATATGTCAGTTACAACATAGTATTGTATCTACAGTATATTATACAGGTAAAATAATTATATCTGGAGTTAAATATAAATCTAAAGCCTCTTTCCAACATTCATCTTTTTTTCAAGATGTACTGGTGAGGAAGTGAGCCCTTTTTTAATCTCTAGAGGTTAACCAGTTAATGGCATTACACCAGCTGGATGTAATGGCAAACCATGGTTGGACAATATAAGGGTTGGGTTGCATATTATCCATGCTTCTGTTCCTGACTTCCAGTTTCATGGCAAATAATAGTTTCCAATTGGATACAAAAATACATGGGGCGGGGGGGGGTGAGAATTATTATAAAAACAATTATGAAGGTTTATTTGTAAGCTAACCTTGTAAATACACTCATAAAAGTTACTAGCCTGCAAATTCACTGTTAAGAAGATAGCAGTCTATGCTTTCATATTGGCTGTGTAGGAAAAAAGAAAGTTATTTCTTGCCCTGACAGTTTGCTCAGTTTACATGCAGAACAGAATGACTTGCCCCTATAAGGCCAGCTGTCTCACTTTCACCTTACAAAATGGTATTGGCAATCATAATCAAATTCTCTTTCCCATTGATAAGCAACGGAAGTAATATGTTGACTAGTTTGACTTTATTAGCGAACTATGATTTCCCACAAAATCAAATGGCAGGAAAGAGAAGAAAAGACTCTGCTGACCTGAAGCTTACTATTGTAGCCATAATTATAGTATTTATACCGGTTCATTTCTGTGTTTTGTTATTGCACAGAAATGAGCCAGAAGTGTGAGCTTTTCAAGCAACCGAAAATGGTCCAGAGTTTCATTTTAGCTTCACTAAACTTTAATTGATCTAACAAACTTTGCTCCAGTATGTGCCCCTGTGGTGGTTTGATACAAGATGGCCTCTAAATGCTAATGAGGTCACTAGCTTGCATAAGTATATAAAATATTGTCAATAAGTGATGCCAAAGCATTACACATTTCTGTATATGGGAGATGAAAAGTGAACATTTGCAATCACGTTCTCCATTACGGTTTTAATATTTATGCACAAGAATTGAATTAGAGCATTGTAATTGAAAACAATAATAGCTGCTTCAGCTGCCTTATGAAAGAAGAATGCATGGGGGATGCAGAACTTAACATCTAAGTTTAATTAAAAACCAATCACTTTCCATTTATCTTTTTCAGCTTTAGACTGGTGTTCAAGTGTGTGTGTGTGTATGTGAAGTGTATGGCTCTGTGGTCTTAAAATGCCTCCCATGCCATTTGAAGATGCATGTTACTACTACAGTTAGGAATGGGCAATCCCTCCCTCCATCCTGCAACCCACTATGTCCCCGGACACTCTTTTCCCATGGTCTGGAAAACCCACTGGTGCAGGTTTAGGGCAGTGAAGAGGGCTGCAGTGAGAGAAGTAAAAACATACAACTCTGGCTCTGCTAGAACTGACTGTCAAAGTATGGATGTTGGTCCCTGAGAATGCCAGCACAGAGGTATCAATATGCTGTGTTTGTGCTCCCCAAGTAAGGTGATTTGTGTGTCAGGTGTGAGCATTTCAGTAAGAGATAAGGTTCATGGAAGCAGCAAAATTAGATTACAGTGGTGGAGAAAGAGCAGCAGTCATGATTATAGAAGCTGAATATCTAACCTGGGTCCAAATGTCAAATCTACTTAAGTGTTGCAAGTTGTAGTATAGGTTGAAGTGTCTGATGCTGTCTGAGCAAATAGGTGTGTCTGTCTAGTTCTCTATTTGTTTACACCAGCCATTCTCAATAGGAGCCATGTCACCCTCTGGGAGGCCTTTGCTCATTTGAATTCTGAGAATTGTAGTCTAAGAACATCTAGGGACCTATTGTTGAGAACACTGCTTTAGTAAATATAAAGTGTTTAGTAAATATAAAGTGTTGGGAGTACTGGAAGCTTCTTTATACCAGACAAATTATTCTTCAGTTGTATTTGCACTTACTTCAGCAGTATCCACTAACACATTCTTCTGCTCCTATCTGAAGATGCTGGGATCTTGTATATACAAATCAAATGGTCTTCCACGAATCTATGACAGCTGCTTATTTCTGTGCCTTGAGCATAATAAATGTAAGCCCTGTTTGGTTGTTTATCAACCAGGTGAGCAAAACATGCAAAGAAAATGAAGTAATTCTGCTCCTCCATAATCACTTGCCTTATATGAAAGTCACCTGTAATGAAGAAGGGAGATTCACAAGTCCAAATGAGGTTAATTTGTCCATCCAAGATTCTGGCTCTTTGTGAGCCAGAACCTTGATTTCTTGGTATTCTGGCATGCAGGAAGAACCTTCACCTGTCTTCACACCACTCACATTGTGTGAACAAATAGACAGTGAAAGGGGAGGGACTATGTAACTCTCTTTCCTTATACATTTGCTCCACCCAAATGAATGAGCTGGGTGTATTGACATTTTAAATGTGATAGGTAAGTCATTAATGTATTGAATGTTGTCATACTCAGGATGATCAGTGAAACATAGCTGAATTTACAAGATACATTATTATAGTGTACTTGTTTTGTAATCAGCTTAGGGAATTGCAGTAGTGTGAATCAATACTATGTACAAGTAGCCACTGTTGTACCAGATGTGGCATAGTTTTATCATTCATGACTAGGAATTGAATGGCAGTCTTGCAGGTTTGGGGCACTGGAAGGGCCACAGTGAGAGAAGGAAGAGTTGTGACACTTTGCACATCATCCTGTGGGCATTTGGTCAGCAGAAAGCCATATGTGTTTTTACAGGCTGAATCACTTGATTTAATGTCCTAATGGGGCTGAAACTGACAGACAGTATAACAAGATGGTATTGATCCATACCAAATTCTGCTGTTCTTCTGTGAGTGCGAGTGATTTTATGTGATATCTCAGCTGTATATAGTTTTAAAATGTGAGCATAAGTATCACAATATAAACAGATGGCTCAATTTTCATTCATTTATCAGTGTCATTATTTGATGGATGAGGCTGCCATTCTCTTACTGTCCGTGTAGAGACAAAGATTCAGATAAGAGAATGATCTTGTCTTGAACCTGATTCTGGTTTTTGGCTACTTGTGGAGAGATAGAAGATATCCTTCTGCTCCTGAAACATGAGAGTCATAAACAGGAATCTATCATCATTACACTGAACTGGAGTGGGGGTGGAAGCCTTCCTTTCCATGACTAACTAATCTTTTCTATTTTAAAATGCATGTTAGAGGACCCAGAGAAGCA